TAGGTAGAACAAATAATCAGTTTCTTTGTCTTCGGTCTTGTAATTTCAACCCAGCAACATTCAAGGTGGCTATCATCAGTAATGTCAAAACGTTGACATTAGAGTAATCCATCACGAATGTACATAGCCGTACCGCCTCCAATTTGTTCCAAACGATCCTGTCGGAGAATAGCCGGGGACACTAAGTTCTCTGAAATCGACGGGTTTAACCACGTTTCCGATATAGTAAAAACGTCAATTGGTTGATCTTTTAGCAGCAGGCGTACTTCGTCCATCTTTGGGTACAGACTTCTTATGTTTAAATGACTGATCTTCAGACCACGACAACCGGAAAGTTGTTGAGCTACGTTTATACCAGGCCCGGGATTAGTGGCTACATCGTTTGATATAGCAATTAATAATGTAGAGATGTACATTCCTCAAAGCAAATGGCAACCAGAGAGAAACTTTACGGCTGTCAGAACATCCTCAACCCGAGAGACGCATGTACGAGAGAATAGCGGCTTTGAGTTACTAATAGCCATCTCAGAGGCATAAAAAAGCATCGGTTTCGTTGAATGGCATAATGAGCTGTCTTTAGGCCAATACAAAGTTGACATAGATAGATAAACATATAAAATAATGCTCAAAGAGGGCAATGATAGCAGATAGCAGCCAGTATCAATCACGGGGTTTGGTATGCTGTAGATGTTGTACCTTGTTCTTGTAGTATATCATTCGACACCTTTTCCTCTCACGGTTATAACTTTGTTTCGCAACAATTTATAGAGAAACACGTCACCCGAGGAGAAGGCTTTTTGTCGTCTCTTTATAAGTTGTTTTAAGGTAGCATTCATCCAAGGTTTATCCGTTTCGTGGACTTTAATAGAACGCTCAGGCATAATCGTGTCCAAGCCGTATGTATTATTTCAGTAAATATATTCAACTTTTCGTCGCTAGACTGGGCTTTAAACAGCAGGTTAGTCTACGGGATCTTCATGAAGAATCGGATCTTCATGAAGACTTGCGATTGTGCTGCGTTTCTTTGGACGAATTCTAATAGTTTTCCTTTGTAGTTTCGATCTTTCGCGTAGCATCTAGCTGCAGTTTTGAAGCTTAGCTTATTGAAATTTCCAGCCAGTATTATGGCACTGTTTGAAAATTGGGTCTCGACCATCTCTAATGTGGACTTTAGGTATTCGCTCATGGTCGTATTATCAGCGTCGGGTGGATGATATAAGCAGGCGACGATAATATTCGAAAACCCGCGAGGTAAACGCCTAGGGCGTAATTATAGCCAAAGTACTTCATGTTCGTCATTGTGAAATTCCGATAGCATTTTAGATTCTATTGATTCTTTTACATATATACCGACTCCTCCATGTGCTCGTATTTCGCGATCACGTCTAAAAAGGCGGTAATCCCTAATTTCTATTGGCCCGTCAGTAATTGAATCTCTTAACCAAGTTTCACTAAACATTGCGATTTCTATATCATGTTGTTTTATAAAAAAGGAAACTTCATCAATTTTTGGCACTATAGACATGCAGTTTGACAATAAAAACGAAGGAACAAAACAGAGCCTTTTTGTCTTCAGGATCGATTGACCAATGTTATTGCCATCGGCCTCCGCTACATTAGTCCTGGCAAGGGGGGGGGGACTATAACAGTCTTATTAGGATTGTTTAAGTCCTCAGAGCTTGGCGAACAAAAACCAGATAATTCAACCAATCTTCCCTCCGATCTTGGTAGGACGGTGGGTGGGTTGAGTGGGGTGGGTGGGTTGCACTGGAAGATGGAAAATACTGAGTGTAGTTAAGATTGAATGTTAAGATTTTTAAATGCTACTTTTTTGACAGAGTTTAATTAAAATTTAATGTGAAACTTCTTGCCATACTCCGTGGTTTTTTAATGAGACTGATACGATTTGAGTACTTAGGCCAGGTTTAGACGGCGAACTTTTCATGCGCCGAATCTAATGCAAGGATTAAGTGCGACGCTGGAGCGGCGTCTAAATCAATTAAGTTCGGCAGGTTTTGATTAAGTTCGACACGATTCGAAGATGCGACAAGACAAGTCGTATATATGCGACACAGGTTCGACATTGATTTAGACGCCATGCATGCTTTTCACGCGCCGAACCTAATGCATAATTATTTTTTAACATTATAATATGATTATCATATATTAGCATTGTAAATATATCCAATATTGTGTCTTCGCAATTTGGTACGGCACAATTAAGTTCGACGTCTAAATCAGTTTCCAATATTTTGCCGTATCTACGGCAATTAGATTCGGCGCATAAAAAGTTCGCCGTCTAAACCGGGCCTTAGAGTAAAAATACTTTTTGATCGAATCCGTACTCCGAACCATGCTTCGTCTTTTCCACCATCCCGTTTTTTCTGTGCCCTTCCTGGAATGTTTTTTGTAGCTCGCGAAGCTTTAAAAATTTATATAGCCCATTTATATAGTCTGTACATGTTGTTCAATTATCTCAGCCCCTGCATGATGTCGATCATCATAGCTTTAAAATTATTTCGCCCCTGGATATCGATCATCATGAATAGCTTTAAAAGGTTGTCAGTTTTGCACTTACTTTTTGTATTAATAATATTACTCCAGTTGCTATATGATGACGATTCATTCAGCTTTATAGCGATTACGCGGAATTTATAACCAGTATTCGGTTCAAGATCATCAACAACATATGTTGTTTGGCTGGTCTATAGTGGGTAAAATGCATTATCATATTATCAGAATCAATACAGAAATTGTACATACATGGAAACGAGGATTGTCGATCGTCGTGGCAAATGCAGAATCTTATATGGTCGGGTGTGTAAAGATCATAAGCCTAATTTACTATTTTGCAATGGACCATGTATACCGAAAACTAATTCAATGACATTATCAATATTTCTTTTAGGCAATGACTTAGGCGTGAGCATGATATGTCCTTTCTTTAATTTCAGTGCCTTGTCTTTAATTAAACACATTCTTTCATTAAGCCTATTTTTTCTACGAACTGAATAAATAAATGGAATACATGATACTGCGATCGCAATATGAATTTGGCCTTTTTAAGGATGGGTATATAACTGAAATCAAAATCCACTTACATTGTGGTATTTCCTTGTGTAAGGAAACACAACAAAGACATTATTACTCTCCCGAAGGTCCCATTGTGGCTTGACTTCCAAAATATAATGAAGATCACTGTGTCCGTCTAATTCTGTCGTATTAAACTGTAATTGTATCGTTTGCCATCCAGCTTCAACCAATCTTGGTGCTGCAGGCTTTGGTAAAGTTCTTTTGTAATCTTTCGCAAATATAAATTTATTAAAAAACGTTAGTCATTGATAATCAATTAAAACATGAAACTACTATTCCTTCTCACAAAATGCACGTAAAGAAGGTCAACAGGTGGCTTTCCATGTAAATGTCCCAAAATAATGTCACGATACTGTAAGTAGAACTTTGGTAGGCCCGTTAGTATACTTGGTATATAATGTTATTGGGTGAAAATAAGGTGGATAAGGGTTAGGATTAATACACTAAGCTATATCCTCTCCGTCGACAATATGTTTAAAACTATAGTAGTAAAATTTTTCGAAACCACCAATTAGTGATTTGGTAGTCAAATTTAGCGATTTCGTAGTCAAATCGACGTCTTTGACAAAAGTGATATAGCTACATTTCCCCCCAAGAAGCCGTATTTTTCATTCGCGATTTTGGCTAATGCGCCGCGAACATGTAATGATTTTTTAATGAATTTTAAACATCTTAAATACTTCTCTAAATTAAGGGCACGTTTGCCCCCTTGCCCGCCTTAGAAAAGGGCAGAAGGGGCGATGCTCCCATACTCCAGCGTCCCTATGTGTACACTGTCGTAGTATAATTTATGAATTTTCTTCACTCGAATTTAATTTTTTTATAAATTATATATTATTGTATTCATTTAAAAATAATGTGAAATATAGAAATGTTCAATAATGTTATAGGATGAGCAACAGTATACTATAAGACTGGTGTTAGATTATATTAGGATTAGGCTGGATTAAGTGCTATAGAGTTAGACTTACGGTGAAGATGATAGTAGAATGAGAGTTATATGATTGTAAGAATCAGAAAAAGCTAAGAAATAATTGGGAGTAAAGTATTGACATTAGCAAAGCTATAATTAGTAAATACAGGGTGTATCAGAAAAGAAGTTTTATATGGTTTTAACCCAACTCCTGACATCATCAAAACGATAGTTAATAAGGTCAAAAAATAGTTAAAGATAGCGGACAGCTCATTAATTTTTTAATTTCGGTTTAAATATTTTGAGAACTAATCAAGATATGAGAAATCTGTAATAGAATTTAATATACAATTTTAAGAGTTCTTTCGAATGAGAAAAACTATTTTTTTATTGCTAATTACTAACCTTTTACCGGGGCGGAGGAAGCAAGCCTAGAAGGCCTAGTGGATTTCCCAACAACAAGGCCAAAACTGCCGTGAAACTGCCCTGGTTGCGAAGTGCCCAATTATTGCGTTCTGAAACAGAATTATTTGCAACTTAACGGCGAATTTAAACCGATACAGGTAAAATAAACTCATTTATAGTATAAACTCACTATTTTTATTTGTATACACGTCTAGAAAATCGGTTTTTTATCATAAAGTTCGAAGCAACACTATTATTTAATATGTTGACAAGGTGAAGCGAAAGCACAAAAATGAGTCAAAATATATACCAAAAATAGAAACTTTCATGAAATTTTGTCGATTACACAACTACATTAATTAGTATATATTTTCTCAATTTTGGCAAGAAGCAGTCTTGTGTTTGCAAAATATACAAACACATATACAATTATAATTTATTAAATAAAACGGATACATATACTATTAGCCCGTACAGTACTGTATATAAAAACGTACATTGTTTACAAATGGTATATCCGTAATATTTGAACAATAGTTTCAAAATCCTCATAACCAATTCGCAAATATAGTTATTCAAAGCAAAACAGTAGATTGTCTTGCGAATACTGAAAAGAATTATTATTTTGTGCTTTCGCTACACCTTGTCAACATAATAATAATGTTGCTTAGTCAAACTTTATGATAAAAAACCCGATTTTCTAGACGTGTATACAAATAAAAATAGTAAGTTTATACTATAAATGAGTTTATTTCACCCGTATCGGTTTAAATTCGCTGTTAAGTTGCAAATAATTCTGTTTGAGAACGCAATAATTGGGCATTTCGCAATCAGGGCAGTTTCAGGGCAGTTTTGGCCTTGTTGTTGGGAAATCCACTAGGCCTTCTATTTTTTCGCTTGCGTCAGGCTTGTGTCCTTCCTCCGCCCCGCCCCCAAATCACCTAGTCCCAGTCTTTTCATGTGAAAAAGCGCTGAATATTAAAAATATATAAATAAAAATAGAAGGCCTAGGTCTAGGCTGGTTCGTAGGTTCAAATCTAACCTGAAGTTCAGGCCCTAATTTGAAATAGGACCTGACACAAAACCTGTCTAGACCGTGGGACGCCCACATGTTATTTTTAGACACAACATGCAATATGATTGACAAGTATGGTTAGATGGAAAACACGGAGTCGGAGTTCCGGAGTCGGAGCCCCGGAGTCGGAGTCCCGGAGTCGGAGTCCCGGAGTCTGACGTCATAAAAATATGGAAAACACGGAGTCATATGGAAAACACGGAGTCTGACGTCATAAAAATATGGAAAACACGGAGTCATATGGAAAATACGGAGTCTGACGTCAGAGAAAAATATGGAAAACACGGAGTCATATGGAAAACACGGAGTCTGACGTATTGTCAGCGTGAAATATGGAAAATAGTAATTAAATAATATATAATTTATGCGAATATAAACAAACGGACGAATTTATAATATAACGAACTGGAAATTTTCTGCACTAATTATGGTATTTCTCTAAAATGTCGTGAAAATATGGATTGTTTATTTTTAAATACAATCAAGCAAATAATATTGTTTCTCTTGTCGTGTGACTTGTTCAGTTGTACAATATTTGAAGTGATTTTAATGCGGATTTTGTTCACCTCGCATCAGGGCCTTTTTTAAAGATTTTCCCGTGGGGGGGCATTTTTTGAAAAGGGACCTTTCTGCGAGACAATATATTAGAGGGGGATAACGATGACTGAAAGCCACGTGTGTGACAAATATACCACGCTTGAATGGGGGGTGGTCTGGGGGTGTACTCCCCAGAAAATTTTTGAAATTTGACTCCCGGAAATGTCATTTCCTGCATTCTGAGCATCCAAATTTGCTCCAAAATTTATCCTAACTATACTTGTATTTGAAATAAATAAAGGAAGAAACGCACAAAAAGTAAAAAAAAATTAACCATCATTTATGATTACTTATTAGAGGATAGCAATGGTCAGGTGTATGGGGGTGTACTCCCCCAGAAAATTTTTGAAATTTGAACCACGGAATTAATGCCATTTCCTGCATTCTGAGCATCCAAATTTGCTCTAAAATTTATGCTAACTATAGTTGTATTTAAAATAAAAGATGGAAAAATGCACAAAAAGTAAAAAAGAATATTAACTGTAATTTATCATTACTTATTAGAGGGATAATCCCAAGAAAATTTTTGAAATTTGAAACCGTGAAATGCTATTTCCTGCATTCTGAGCATCCAAAAAATAAAAAAATTATTAACAATAATTTAGAAAAAAGTAACAATTTAAATCGATTTTGTTAAACAAAGACAAGGGATGAAGCCTAAAACTTACTTTCCGTTTATGTATTTGTTAATCTTCGCTGGTTTGTTTGTATAATTTTAGG